TTGAAAAATATTCAGCACTGAGATGCTGGATTAAATGATTTCAGAACTTAATTCCTCTACATGTTTAATGAATAGCAATATTTTGCATTCCTTTCTCACAGAAAAAAAAATCCAGGCCTGATTACTGGACAGACAAAAAATTGTTCACCTAATAAAATATGAATCTATTTCCTAGTTGCTAAAAAGAAAATTAAAAAAAAAAGAGTAATACTGGGAAAAAATTAATTCAATGCGAACAAACAACAAAAGGTTTTGGATCGGGCTATAAAAATATATATACACCAGAGATGGAGTATCGCAGTCACAGACAGTCATATGCTGAGATGAGGGACAAATAAGGGTGCGCCTTAGCAGCTATAAATAACAAAAACAACAAGAAAGCATCAGGAAAGTAAGCAAGTGAAAGTATAAAGAAAACAACACAAATTTGCGTGAATGCCAATCTGCATGTTTCAATTCAAAATGCTTTAAAGAAATTCAATGAACTAAAAAAGAATGACTTTCAGCAAATTTCCTACAATGAAAGCCTGAAACATGTATCCACAGTGACTAATCCCTATTACCGAGATGAAATCAACTTTGAATCCTCCGTTTTGTGAATTTTGTGGCATAAAATCTGACATACCTATAGATAAAAAACAATCACGTTTCAATTTACACCAACTAAAATTAAACCCAAAATCAGACAAAACAAGTAAACCACGTTTCTGATTACCACAAACAATGTTTCAAAGTTGAATTTATGTAACACATTGACTTAAAGCTAAAAATGAGCAAACGAAAAGCAAAAGTTTCTGAACTTAAAAGAGAAAAGCTTCTAAATTTGCCAATTTCAAAGAAGTGATAAGTACATATTCAAATTTATCAACTTCAGCATAGACAAAACAATTACACAGATACAGCTAAATGACTGCAAACGCAAACTTTAGAAAGAACCGCAATTCATCTTTATCTAAAGAAGCTATATTTGATTCAGCCCAACTAAGTAGGCAAAGAAAAGCTTCTAACTTTGCTGAAACCAATTGAATAAGCCTCTGTTTATTAAAAAAAATTCAGAAAAAATTTAAAAAAATCAGACCAATTTCGTAGAAAGGACAAATTTTAAATTCACTAAACAAATATCTTCACAGAATTCAAGCAATAACCGCAAGAAAAAAAAAATTCTGAACCTTGAGTTTCTAACAACAGAAATTTCATTTCTCCGAAAAGCACTACAAATAAAATAAATAAATAAGAAGCAAGTAGCAGCGGCGGGAGAAGAATTGCAGAAGAAAAGACGGATACAGGGGCTTACGCCGGTGAAGTCTGCGGATTTTCAAGTGGACGGCGATGATTAGTAGATTCGCCGGCGTTTTGGGGGAAGACTAAAGAAATGGTGAAATTAGGGATGGGAGAATTTTGAGGTCTGGGTTTAAGAAAGGTTTTTTCGTTTTTGTTTTTTTCTTTATTAAATAACCCGGGCAACCGGTTTTATTTACCCGGATTTTTCATCTTTTGACGGGTCGTGCTTTGAGCCCATGGGTTTTGCCGAACTTTGCCCTATGTTATTTGAAGGGTTGATTACACTTTGCCCCCTGAATGTATGGGATAATCATATTTTATCGCTCTTAACTTTGGATATAAAAACTTTGCCTCCCCACTAAAATGTAATGATGAAAAAAATCCTAATATCATAAACTTCATAAGAGGTTTTAACCGGAAAAACTCTAAAATTTGGTAACAATGCTCATAATTCAACAAAGGAATAAACTTTTTCTACTATATATAATTGTTACTTCAATAAAAGGTTAGAAAATAACAACTCGTGTTTAGATTGAATTGCTAATTGTGTGATAGCATGTGTTTGTTATAGTTGGTGAGTAATTTGCGTTACCAAAGTACATTATTTCTTATTCCAAAGTAAATACTTTAAGTATTAGGAACATATAAATGTTTTTTCAGTTCAATTTAAACCACATAATCATTAATTTAATGTTTATATTTCAATTAAAATCATCGCTTGGCATGTAAATTTTGACAAAGTGCTTTAAAAATATGTATTGATAAAATTTTGCCAAGCAAATTTTATTGATATGAAATTTTGTTGATTGTTTACATAATTCCTTTCTTTTTTCGTTATTTGAGGTCAAACATTTTGTAGTATTATAAATTTCAGAAGATACTAAGAAAAATGTAGTGTGTTGTGAACAAAAAAAGAATTAACAATAGAAATTGCTAATCCTCAACCACTTTGTGAATATCTTTTTTTTCAATATTTAGGATAGGCTAATGCATTTTATCACAATTTTCAAACTAATTATTTAATATTGGACTCAACTATCTAATCCCCTTTCATAGTCCACCATTTTCAGCATCTCATCCACCATGATTGAAGGGTCAAACTATTCCAAAGTTTTGAATAGAGGATAATAGTTCCAAAGTCTTGAATTTTGAGAACAAAAATGGCTAAAAAGAAAATTTCTATAATAATTCCTCTATGAACTAAACCCATACCAAACTTGTACATGGGTATTCTTGAGTCTTGAGTACTAATAAAGTCACAAAACTAACATATGTGTTAATGTGTTAAAGGGGAGAGTATTGGAGGATGAAAACACATTTTAAAATTCTTCCTTACTACTGTACAATGGAATCAAAGTGTAAAAAGAAAATAAAAAAGTAAGCAGCTCAAGGAGTTTATCATACAATATTTAGTTGATAGTTCATTGTGGATATCTCTTCTCTTGTAGATACGTTATGTTTTATTGCCACTTATACTTTTTAAATTAATCTTTTCTACGTTGATAGTGCTGTCAATTTTGAATGAATAACAACTATGCAAATTTTGAATTTAAACTCCAATTTTTGCAAATGTATTATGGATCGATGATAGGGTACTGCCAATATATATAAGATTTACTCATACTTTTTCACTTGTACATTATGCTTTATTTGTTTGCTTAGCATTTTTTTTTTATATAAAACATCATAATTTCATTAAAGTTTATACTAATGGCAAAAGTTATATCATCAAACATGCACAGATATCAAAGAACATGTAGAATGGATTCTACAGATCAAAAAACAAATCTGAAAAATAGATACTACAAATTTGAAGAACATATAAAAATTATTATATTGTAAAGCTCTAAAAATATTTTAAAATGAGATAAAATAATTGTAATTCCAAGAAAAGAAAATCTATGTATATTTTCAATCACCATTGCTGCTTGATAGCTTCAAGTCTAGATATTATGATGAGATCTATCAAATAGACCTAATTCTTGATCTGATGATTAAAATTTGAAAAAACTTAAATCTAATAAAAGAAAATTTTTAAAAATATGTAAAACTCTCACTAGGAATTCCTAGGGGAGAAGAAAATTCTCACTGAAAAAGTTTAGGAGAGAAGAAAACTCTCACTAGATAACCCTAGGAGAAAAGAAATTATTATTAAGACTAGAAGATATTTTATTCACACAAACAAACAAAAAGAAATTATACAGAAGGCTCCTTACGGAAAAAGATTACAAAAAAAAAAAAATCTTATCTATTTCCCATAGGAGAGTTGGAGGAAGTTTTGACTAGAAAATGTTTGGAGATCAAGTGTGGAAGCATTCGACCTTTGCAAATCAAGTGTGAAAGTCACCACGCACCTATAATGCCATGCAGTTATGCATGATGAACTTCACAAGTCCATAAACACAGATCACCACTAGTATCTCGCAATTGAAACCATCCTACCCAACCAGGTTGGCAACTAAATACCACTACCATGCCTTACTCTTTTTTACCAAAGTTGAGGAAACTCAAACTTTTGTGTTTATAAACCCTGAATCCCCGAACAATCTTCAAAAGCCGGTAACTTTTGAAGACGTTCAGGGGACTTATATACACTAAACCCAACCCCCCCTTTCCGATGTGGGATAGAAAACCCCACAGGATGCCTCGCTGCTAAGAAGTAAAGACCCCCCAAACCCCCTGAGAATGAGTTTTCTGTCTTTTTTACCAAAGCTGAGGAAACTCAGACTACCATGCCTTACTCTCTAGTAAACATTTGGTTTTATGAAAAAAAAAAAAAAAATTTCACAGAACTCTTTATTGATACTATAATCCTTCATAGATTATTGATACTCTTTATTGATCATGTCTATGTATATTTTCCTTACCTACCATCAACGTACTGTGAATCAACAACAGGTGATGAATTAGGTGAATGGGTAGGTTTTTCACAAATTTAGACGTTCATCAAAACACTCCAGTCAAATGATTATAACAGTATTCAGACACCAAAATTGAAAGTAACTTATGAAACCAAAAGATTTGCTTACTACAATTGCAAACCAACTATAATTTGATTATTGTCAACATACACTTTTAAGTCCAATAATAAGCACATTAATTATTTAATGATAAGGTTGAAAACTCGAATAGAAATAATTAAATCTCAAGTTAATTTGTCAAATATAATTAAGTTGAAATGTTAACGTGAATAGTAATAAATATAAATTCTAATTGAATTATATCTATTCAAAATGTAGATATTGAAAAGTCTACTCAAAATAATTCAACATTATAAAGAAATGCTAAATGCAATCTAATTTGGGTCATTGAACACATCTAAAGTAATGCCAACTCCACGAGACAATACCAAATCCATATAGAAAGCAAAAGAGAAAACTCAAAATTCACCCATAATACCACATATCAGTAAGGGGAATTGCTACAGTAAATTTGGACCTCTACTTTATGTTATAGTAAGATAAGATATTTGATAATACGTTGTAGTATATTTTTAGTCCTTCAGATAAACATTCAATTAAACACCTTGAAAGGGGACATTTTATAGTTTTATTCCCAGAATCAACATAGCGCTTAGAACAAGTAGTACCAATGCCCATTGATTTTAGTTCGGCCTATCAAAGCCCATCTCATGTCGGGCCTAAAGAACAAGACATTAAACTCCGATATAGTTGGGCCACCCCAGTTTAGTACCACTACTACCCTTTTTCTGTCGTCATTCCCCTCTCCTTCCCTGAAGCATTCTCAGTAGCCCTTCGCGTTCTTCTTCTTCCTTATGCAAGCTACACTCGGGCTTCTCATTCACCCTCTTTTTCTACCTGCTGCTCTTTTAAGGGTCTTGAAGGAGACAAGTTTCAGCTAGAGATTTTGTATGCAGGTTAGTTTCTTATTGTTTTTGCTGTACTTTTCTTACTCTGATGATTTTGTTCAATAGACTTCATTTATTAATGTTCTTGGGATGTTCTTGGCGGATTGTCATAGTCTTTCCATTAATCTTTTAGTAAAGTAGAAATGTTTTTTGATTTGATCCTGAGTTGAAATTGGTCGACTTAGACAATTAGGCTGCATGTTTTACCCATTTGATTCTTCCTGAATTGTCCTCAGTCACCGATTTGGGAGTCTCCGACTTGTAGGGTATCGTTATCAGAATGGCCTGCCAAGTTTCGATGATGAATTTTTGAAGCAAGGTTAAAAGAGAAATTCAGTGCATTGATTATTTTGCAGAGATTTTATTTAAAGCTCAAAAGTGCAAGAATGATGGCACTTTTTGCGAGCCGAGGTATGCTGGTTGAATTCATTTAATTCCTGAATGTTTTCCCGTTCTTTCTATTTCTTTAATCATGAGTTTGTTGATTTATTGGAACTCTAAGTTTGTTTCTGGTAGCTCACTGATCATACTGATCATAATTGGTACCGCAGGATTAATGTTTCAGTCTGCCTCAAGATGCTTTCGTGTGATTGCCTCTTACAGGAGCTTGCCATTTTCAAGTAATGGACCTTGCAATCAGGATGGTGGATCAGCTTCTTTTGGAAATGGGGTTAACCAAGAATATTTGGGAAAATCAGAGGGTATATGGCAAGAAGCGGACAGGGTGTGCCAGATCCTGGAGAGTGGATCTTGGGGGCCTTCAGTTGAAAATGCTTTATCTATGTATGATGAAAAACGTCATTCAGAACTAGTTATTGGAGTCTTAAGGAGGCTGAAAGATGTTCAACAAGCGCTAAACTATTTTCGGTGGGTTGAGAAGAAAACTGACGAAGCGCATTGTCCGGAGGCATACAATATGCTTCTCATGGTAATCGTGAAGAGTAAGAGGTTTGATCATGTGGAACAAATTTTGGAAGAGATGGGTCTTGCTGGGTATGGCCCATCCAACAGTACCTGTATTCAGCTAATAGATAGCTATGTCAAGACTCGAAAATTAAGGGGAGCATTTGATTGTATTCAGACAATGAGGAAGTTAAAGTTTCGCCCTGCATTTTCAGCTTACACTACCCTAATTGGTGCCCTATGTACTGTTAATGAACCTGATCTTACGCGGGCACTCTTTCTTCAGATGCAAGAATTAGGTTATGAAGTGAGCATTCATTTATTTACGACTCTTATACGAGTATTTGCCAGGGAAGGTCGAGTTGATGCTGCTCTCTCGCTTTTGGAGGAGATGAAAAGCAACTCATTGGATGCAGACATTGTTCTCTATAATGTGTGTATAAACTGCTTTGGCAAGGTGGGTAAGATGGATATGGCTTGGAAGTTTTTTCATGAGATGCAAGCTAATGGATTCGTACCTGATGAAGTTACATATACGAGTATGATTGGTGTTCTCTGCAAGGGTAACAGACTGGATGAAGCTGTGCTCCTGTTTGAACAGATGGAGCAGAATAGGGCAGTCCCATGCGCATATGCTTATAGCACTATGATCATGGGATATGGATCTGCTGGAAAGTTTGATGAAGCATATAGGTTACTTGAAAGGCAAAGGTTAAAGGGATCCATACCAAGTGTAATTTCATACAATTCTCTTCTAACCTGCCTTGGGAAGAAGGGAAAAGTTGATGACGCATTAAGGATCTTTGAGGAGATGAAAAAAGATGCAGCACCTAATCTCACAACTTATAATATCATCATTGACATGCTTTGCAGGGAAGGACAGTACAGGGCTGCTTTAGACGTTCGAGATGCCATGAAATTTTCAGGCCTGTTTCCCAATGTATTGACTGTAAATATAATGATTGACCGTTTGTGTAAGGCTCAGAAACTTGATGAAGCTTGTTTTATTTTTGAAGAAATGGACCACAAACTTTGTATGCCAGATACAAGGACATTTTGCTCTCTTATAGATGGCTTGGGTAGGCATGGCAGGGTAGATGATGCATACAGGTTATATGAGCAGATGTTAGATTCTGATCGGGCTCCTGATGCTGTTGTTTATACATCCTTGATTAAGAACTTTTTCAGGTCTGGAAGGAAGGAAGATGGGCACAAGATTTACAAAGAAATGGTTTCTAGAGGTGTTGCCCCTGATCTTTTGCTCCTTAACACCTATATGGATTGTGTATTCAAAGCTGGTGAGACAGAGAAAGGCAGAGCTTTGTTTCAGGAAATTAAGAATCTGGGTTTTACTCCAGATGTGCGGAGTTATTCTATTCTGATTCATGGTCTTATAAAAGCAGGCTTTGCATGCGAAACATACGAGTTATTTTATACAATGAAGGAAAGAGGGTGTATTCTTGACACCCTTGCTTATAACACGGTAATTGATGGATTCTGTAAATCAGGAAAGGTCAATAAAGCTTATCAACTGCTGGAGGAAATGAAGGTGAAGGGTCATGAACCTACTGTTGTCACTTATGGTAGTGTTATTGATGGGCTTGCAAAGATTGACAGGCTTGATGAAGCTTACATGCTTTTTGAAGAAGCAAAATCCACAGGTGTGGAGTTAAATGTGGTGGTTTACAGTAGCCTTGTAGATGGGTTCGGGAAGGTGGGTAGAATTGATGAAGCATATCTGATAATGGAAGAATTGATGCAAAAAGGATTGACGCCGAACACTTATACTTGGAACTGCTTGATTGATGCTCTCGTGAAGGCTGAAGAAGTAGATGAAGCTCTTGTCTGCTTTAATTCGATGAAAAACTTGAATTGCAGTCCAGACTCAATAACTTACAGCATTCTCATAAATGGGCTTTGTAGGGTGCAAAAGTTCAATAAAGCCTTTGTTTTTTGGCAGGAAATGCAGAAGCAAGGTCTAAAACCCAAACTGATTACTTATACCACTATGATATCTGGGCTTGCAAAGGCCGGAAATATACTAGAAGCTGATAAACTCTTTGAAAGGTTCAAGGCAAATGGAGGTGTACCTGATTCAGCCTGTTATAATATTATGATAGAAGGGTTAAGCATTTCAAATAGGGCATTGGAAGCTTACCAACTATTTGAAGAGACTAGGTTAAGAGGTTGCAACATATACACAAAAACATGTATTGTTCTTATGGACTCTCTGCATAAGGCTGAATGTCTTGAGCAGGCAGCAATCGTGGGTGCTATTCTGCGGGAAACAGCAAAGGCACAGCATGCATCTAGATCATTGTAACAATGGATTGGTTGCTGTTATTAGCGACTGATCACAATCTGATGTGTAGTTTTTATGTGTTTATTTCTTTGAATAGGTGGGCTATCTGGACGCATTATTTGTATAGTTTAGGGCATAGCAATATAGGTCTAAATTGGGGATAGAATCACACAGTTAACTACATAAACTGGTTGATAAGAGGATAAGTGGCACTTCACCCAATAAACAGTTTATCTATTTTCTTACCAGCTTGACTATACTATTGCATCATAATACATTTGAAAAAAAAAAAAGTATAACAATATTATATTTCAATATGTGGTCACAATTAAAGCATAAGCATAACATTGTCAAACAATTAAATATTCAATTCTAATACTAGTTCAAGATTAATTTTTTTTACTTGCCAAAATATGGTTATCCATTATTGACTATTTCTCTATTCCACCCCTCGAGCGGGACAAATGTTCATATTAGGATTTTAGCTGTTCCTTGCCGACAGTATAAGTTAGGGACTAATATTGCCGACAATAAGCAATCAAGAGCTAATTATATCTAAACTAATAGAATTTGAACCATATTTCATTTCATATAAAAAAAAAAAGAAAGAATAAAGATATATGCTAAAATACACTCAAAAAATAAAGTTTTAAAAGTTAATGTAGTTAAAAATTTCATCTCAAAGCATAGGAAGTAGATAAATTGCTTAATTCAATAAGCAAGAGCTAATTAGGAGTTCAATTGAGGTAATACCATTGGTTCTTTTTTCTCCCCACCTATAAAACAATTAACTTAATTGATGTCTAGCTCCTAAGTATAGCAAAGCAACCATAAAATGCTACGACGAAGTTCTAAATTTAAAGAGTCCAAAAGAAAGAAAAAGTAGAAAGCAAAAGAGCTGCAACACCATTAAGACGTACACTAGTCATTACAAAGCCATCTAGCAATGCTTGCCCCAAAATAATTTGGCACCAATTAAACCATTGCCAATCAGACTAAACTAGACCCAACCTGATCTTTGGCTCGAAACAAAGATGAACTAGTGGTGGTTTGGTTTAACCTTTCTGTCCAAGACTATAATCAAATAGGTTTTGCAAATGGCTTGAGTTCACTAAATAAATTGGTATCAGTTGCCCTTCAACAATCTATCTACAAAGACATGCTTTAACAATGATCTAACTTAACCTATGGTATCAAATTCATCTCAAAACTTTCAAATCCAACAATTATTTGCCAAAAGTGAATTTTTAATATTTTAGAAGCATAAACATTCAGCCATTAAGTTGAAAAATAAGAAAAATCCAAAGTTTGGTAATGTTGAGAAACCAAAACTTTTTGTAAGCTACCATAAAACAACTCGAAACAATTTGATGGGCATCTATTTAGGTAAACAAGATTGTGGATATCATAAATTTTGTGTCCAAAGATAATACATTCTAGTCCATAAAAGTATTTTTTATTGTTTGTATTATAATTTGGTAGAAAAGAAAATTTTATTATTATGTTTGATTTGGAACAAATAAATCTTTATTATCTACTATACTAACAAACTTGAGCGAATGATTACTAAATTAATAATGCATACATTTTTCATATAGTGGCAATTCTTTTATTATTATTATTATTATTATTTATTTACACATTTACTTTATTCATCAGTCTCATGCTTAATAGTGTCATAAATTGCCACATTTTCATAAGCGGCGAGCTTTTGAAAGATAAAGGTATAACAGCACTACTTGATAATTGTGCTAAAAGAAAAAGAAAAATACTATACAAAATCAAAGTGAACCTTTCTTATCTCTATATATATATATATCATTCCATGGAATGGTCCTTTCAAAATTTATCACTAGAAGCATATATGTACTTTAGTTGGTATCATAATAATTATTAAACCTGAGCCTAGATATTCAATCGGGCATTTAGAAAGGAAGTGATAGATACATTAATTTCGGTCTATGGGATACTACATAACTTTGGGTCAACCATTTTGAAACCGAGTTTTTCAATTCAAAAAGTTATTGAACCAATCCATGGATCCTGGACATTACAAATGATATTAGAGCAAATCTTGCATGATCTTTGTATGAGATGAGTCTGGACTAGTGGTGTTATGATTCCGATTACATGAGGGAGTGTAAGGAGTGATCACTTGTCATAAGTGTCAAAAATTAATTATTGAATTCCCAAAACTTATAGTAGTGGGTGTCCGGATTGAACCCACGGGGAGCAATGAGAACTTTGATTTTTCTCTTTTGAATCGATGAAAATAGTTAGTGATGATTAAGAACAGTTTAAAATAACAATTACAAAAGTTAGCAATAGACGAAAGCCAAGCCAAGGACATGAAAATTTTACTTTGATTAATCATCAATTCCTAAAGTCCAATCGCTAGTCAACTATTTGCCATTTGGTCTAAATTATCCCAAACACCAGTAGTAACTCATAAGATTCTCTAACTTCAATAATTAGAATAACACATTCAAATTGTATTCTTATTATCAGACAATCTAAGTAGTAACGTAATTGCAAGTTAGTTTAATAACAGCATTAAAGACTATGAATCAGTCAAAGATGATAATAACCTGTAACGCATGCAATTATTCAATCAACACCACGATTCGTCTTAAGGTTTTATAAAAAGGTAAGCAACTATTAGCCGAAATACTAATGCAAGACAATTACATATCAAAATTAGTGTTTTGGCATGAATGATACATATAAAAAAGAATAATTGACCATTGACTCTACTAGATATGCATAAACACATAATAGAAATCAAAGAATAGCAGATACTTAGTCAATTAATGATTGAAAAAATCAAACCAATTTCACAATTCATGGAGTAGCCGCTTCAATCCTTGGCTTTAGTAGAGAGATTAGCTAGACGCCGTCATTGCAAGAGTAATAAAGATGTTCATAAATGAGTAAAGACTAATCCTAGATCCTATGAGAAATTTATCTTACTCTACCTCTGAAAAAGCGAGTAATCTCCAGAGAGAATTTTTCTTCTGACGTACTTCCCTTCATTACCTCCTTCGTATGTATTTATAATATAAAGTCCCTGTGATAGGTTTTTTTAAAATTGGAGTCGAGTGGACTACTTGAAATTAGAAAAGCACATGTCTAGACATTGTTGAGCCTTGATCGGGCTGTATGATGGGTGCCCATTATCATCAGATTCTCAACTTATACCAAAATCATTTTCGAGGTTGAACAGGCCTTATGTTTGGACCCCATCTTGGCACCCATTATCTTCCGCTCTTTTGAACTTAGAATTTTACTTCCAAATTGAGCTTCTTTGACATCATTTTTATCCTAAATGCTTTTTAACCTGTCCAATTATAAAATACACCTAAGTAGCACCTTTGAAAATACTAGGAGGCATGAACGCGCTTCGAGCGGTGGAAATGTAAAATGCCCTACCCAATTTTGTATAAAAAAACAAATTAAATTAAATGAGCATTTGCTATGGCATTGTTTATTACAATTTATATCATATATCTTATATCAAAAATTATGAAACATAATATTTAAATATATTTAGTGACCCACTGGTTCAACCACTCACCCCCTGGTTGAACCAGTGACTCATTGACCTACCTCTTTCATCGAATTTTTTTGGGTTGCCCTACCCAATTTTGTATAAATTAAAAAGCAAATATATGAAGGAATAGAATAGTGATCTATACCCAAAAGGTGTGTCTGATTATTAGTAAAGTCCGAAAATGATAGATCCTCAATTATGTAGCCTGTGCCATAGTTATTAAAATCGGCCCCAAAAAAATTCGATGAAAGAGGTAGGTCAACGGGTCACTGGTTCAACTAGGGGGTGAGTGGTTGAACCGGTGGGTCACTAAATATATTTAAATATTATGTTTCATAATTTTTTATATAAGATATATGATATAAATTGTAATAAACAATGCCATAGCAAATGCTCATTTAATTTAATTTGCTATAGAATAATTAATTCATATAAGAATCAATAAAACATAAATTTATTTAGTAATCTACCAAACTTCAAGTATAAAATTTTATCTATGTTTAGTGTAATTATCTAGCTTATTTACGAATTTTAAATGCAAAAAATTATTAAAAATAATATTTGTCTTTAAAATGAATTATGTAATATGTTATTTTTGAAATCCATTTTATAACTTATAGAGTTTGGGGGTCATAAGTTTTTATTAAAAGATTCCAAATAAATTTGTTTTAGAAAAATTAAAAAAAAAATAGAATTGACAAAACATTTATATATTATAAGAAAGCTACTCTACCAACATATGGCAAAGTGGTCTTGTGGTAAGTATACTATTGCACATATCAAAGGTTTGGAGTTCGAATTCTAGTAAAGCTAACTAAATCTTTTTCACAAAACCTGGTTCGTGGACAAAATCGGCTGGGTTCCTGGTTTAATCCGGTTGAACCGTTGGGTCATTGACTAGTCAATGGCTTCTATGTTCAAATAATGTAATTAGAAACCTAGCCCGGTCCAATGGCTGGTTCACCAGATTGACCGATTCGACCATCGGGCAGGGTCGGGGTTTAATAACTATGGTATGTGCAGATAAGCTTGTTGTATAATTTGTTTTGCATGCATGCAGAAACCATTTGCAAAAGAAATCTCAAAGACTAAATATTAGTTAAAAAAAAGGACACCAAAGTAACAAAAAAAAATACTTCAAACATTCATTATCAAAGTTTCGTTAGTGCAGCCAGTAGATAAACATCAATTTGTCTCTAAACATTCATTTTCAAGATTTGATTCACTAAACAATTACAATGAGTTGCTAAACACTAAACTTCTAGTGCTACAAATACATTTTTCAAACTAGAGCTCCTTGTTGTATAATATCAAGAGCAAAAGTGCAGCATAACAGGTCGATTTTGTTGGAATAAATTCAGCAAATTGCATGCTTGATCCAATGGAAAATACAAAGTGCCATGGATACAACTTTTCTATCGCTTTTCGGTTGAACACCAGCACAGCAAAGGAAGTCTTGGACTGTGGAATAAAGAGTAGTATTTGACCATTTCGTAAATCATGATCAATAACAAAATGGTTCCAATTTTGATCAAAACATCTGCCAGTCATACCAATGTAGTAGTATTTATAACCATTTGTACCAGTTATAGTTGGTGTATTATTTTCATTTAGTTTTAGATCTACAAATTTTGATAGATCCTATAAATGTACGAAAAAATGGTCATAAGTAAGTGGACACAAAAAAAGAGAGAA